GCAGCCAACTTACCTGAGAGGATTTCCATCTTGAGAAATGTGAGTGAAAAACCTACCATGTCCTGCTTGGTGGGCGGTCAGAGGGATGAGGAGGGCTGATGCCTTCAGCACTGTCAACATAACTGCAGGCACCACAGCTAATGGCCTGCAATTACCCAGTCTGTAAATTGCACATACTGAAGACACCAGTAATATCTAGAGGTGATAACATCATCAGGTTCTACTCAGTACTCCTCGTGCTCCGGATCATGTAAACCCTGCCCAGGCAACGTGTCCCACTGGGAGACTGCTCTCCGCTGAACATGGCAGATGGTGTCTTCCTCCTTCTGGTCTCCCAGGGTTTCAGGATGTGTATGTCTATGCATTTGTGTTCTGCTTTCCTTAATATGCAACTGTATGTATGACCTTGTACTTGACTTAATTTAATTACTGCTTGAGATTTAATGTTATATTTCTTCAGTGTGTGTAGTCTAAGCAAACAATTATTTTTTTTTTCAACAGGAAAATAATTTACCTCTATTCAGGATTTTTTCTTGAGTAAAAGGTAACTTAATTGAAATATTAAATTATTGGGAAGACATTAATTTTATCTAGATGGTAACTAAAATTCATTATGTCCTAATATGCTAATTCTAATTGGAGTTCTCATTACTTTTTTTTATTTTATTGTATCAATGGTAGTGATCACCAACTGGTACAAATTAAGTAGCAGAGTCTCTAAAACAGGCATTGCAGGGAAGTACATTCAAACCAACTTTTAAAAGTAGATTCAGAGTTCCTTATTCCTAAAGACATATGTAAGCATGTAACTTTGTGTTCTCAGTAGTCCATGGAACGTAATGGTTATTTATAGAATATGAAGTAATATCATTAAGCAGATGCATAAGTCATTGCAATAGAGGGGCTACAGATTTTAAGAAACTTTCATGGCCATCCTATCTGGCCTTGTGCACATCCTCAAGCACTGACTGCCAGTTTCGTTCACAAAGCCCAAGAGCTTCCAACCAGCTGAAGTGGATCACACTTCTGTTTAGATACTACACTGTGTTTGGTTGTTTGACTTTTTAAATTTTGCATATTTACAGTTCCATACATTGTACTGTGTAGTGGGACCTTACTGCTTGTAAGGGAAGGATTATTTTGGCTACTTATATTGCATAAGTCTATAGCCCCTGGTGATAATTTAGCACATGGGGAATATATTTTAATGTCAGCACAGTGAACACCCAGGATAAAGCTCTAAGTAGGGAACAAAAATTCTGTCAGGCCACACGCTCTCATAATCTGTTTTAATCTGAATAATATTGACCAATGAATAATATTGACTAGCTGTCTTGCATGATTATTGATATGTCTCTGATAGATGCTGCACTGCCAATCAGAATGGATAAGAGGTGTTCAACATGCGATAGGTATTTCTTGGTGAAAGACTCACAATCAAAAGACTTTTTCTGTATGCACAAGTGCATGATTTTATTAAATTTAAGAATATGTGCTACTTAAGGTTTTGAGGACCCCAGCAGAAATCCTACAAGATGTGTCTGTCAGGGGGTTTAGAAACCTGACCTGGAGTTACTTTTGAAAATTACTTTCAGTCATGATTTGTGGGTCAGGAAACAACCAGTGCACTCTTTCTGAGTACATGATAAATACCTGACTTGGAGCATTTTTGTAAAAAATTGGTTCGTTTCCTTTGGTGATCACATCACAGGAAAACAGCATTTATTTATAAAACTTAATCTAGTAACTTAGTATCTGTTGAGGCATTGTTTGGTTTCAGTAAGACTTTCTCCCAGTGTCAGGGTGTCCTGTTTACTGGTATGTTGAGGATTAAGAATTCATTTGAACTCTAGACTAGTTCATTTGACTGAAAATACCATGTTTCACATAATTTTTTTTTTTCCCCACAGTGATTGACAGCTGTTGGAAGCAACAGGACTACTAATAGGCTTGTTCATATACAGGTGGTGAGTGATGTGCACTTCATTTTATTTCACATTGCAAGAATTGTTCTAACACTGAACAATGGCTGATACTTGTAATATATAGGAAAGGCTCAATATCACTTTTCTCAGTAACTGAAATCAAGAATGGACTTGGCTTTAATTTTTAAGTAATACAGTCATTGTCTTTAATATTGCTAATCAGTCTGTCTGGTGTTTTTGGTTTAGATTTTCTCCTGCGTGGGATGTGTGATCAGCCCAGTGTTCAGGTAAAGAGATTTCTTCCACTCTAAAAGTGACAGCTCTGAAGTGAGCTATTACTGAGTCAGAGAGCTAAAGAGATGGTAAAGGTATGGGGGAAAGCAAAAACAGGGAAGAGAAAGGAAATTTCTCACAGAGAAACTAAATTAACTTTAGCATCCTTTTTCACTAAAGAGAATTTGGAGGATGTTTACAAGTGGAACTTTTATTTCTGGCCAAAGTGAGCAACAAATCCTCACTATCAGACAGTGCTCAGCTAAAATGTTCAATGCAACTCAAGATCCAAAGTGCAGTGGTATCAGTGGGGGTGTTCAGCCTTTACTTAAAACTCCCTTTGCACCTGCCAACTACAAGACAGCTGCTGTGATACCAGTTTCCAGAGAGATCTGAGCAACTGCTTATCCATATGCCTGATGTCTGTACCTGGACAGTTTGTGGAAATTATAATAACAAATAGTGTTGCTGTACACACAGTAAATCTGGTGTTTGGGAGAACAGTGAAAATGACTTTTGTAAAGGTAAGTTATGCCTCACAAATCTGTTGAAGTAATTAAGAAAAGCTGATGAGTATATGGATAGAGTGAAGTCCAACTGATATAATTACTTGGATTCTCAAGAGACTTTAAGTGATCTAGAAAGTACATTAATAGTGGTATGATGACATCTGCTGATGAAACAAAGCTCTTCAAGGTAACAAAGACAAGGACTGACTGTGCAGAGTTGCAAAGAACCTTAGTTGAGAAGTGGGAGAAGGAATACAACACAGACAGATGCAAAAAGTGAGCAAATGGGAAAAAATGCTGATGTTAACACTCATGGCTTTGGAATTATATTAATTGGGATTGTTCTGTGGAAATGTCAGATCAGTGCCGTGTAATGGTTAAAAAAGCAAAGTAAATCTCAGGAATCATTAGGAAAGAAATTGAGAAGAGAACAGAAAATACCATTATGCTGCAGTACAAATCCATGGTGTATCCACATCTTCATACTATGGTTCTGGTCCCTCTGTCTTGAAAAGAATGTATCAGAGTTGGGAAAGTGCCAGAAAAAGGCAACAGGGTTGAGCTGAACACATGGGCTATTGTCGGGGAGAGGGGACTGGATTTGATGGACTTTGGTCACTATGACCATTCTTATGTTCAGAAATTCTTGTAAGTTCAACCTTTGCTCAGTGTCACAAAAATGGTCATTAGGAAGAGAGGTTAGCCTTCCTGGGGAAAAAAAAATCAAGAAAGTAATAGTCTAGTGTGAAATATGAGACTCTTCTAGGTCTCCTTATTGGAAAAATATGCCTCAAAAGAAAAAGCGTCTCTAAAAATGTTTGACTCGCAGAAGGTGGATGTTTATAAAAAATCAAACAGGCAAAACTGAAAAGTGTTGTTTCTTATGATAGGATTCAAGAGCTCAAGAGAGGCTGTTTGACAGCAGTGTGTCAGTGTTTCATGTAGAATTTCATGTGGAATATATGATGCTCTTGCTCCACAGATTCCTAATCGAGTGACTCTCAGTTCTGTGTCAGATGGCATGAAACTGTACCAGTTATGACTGATAGAGGCGTTTCTCCTTGATGGTTGGGAGGAGGCTGGCCTGGTGATTATCTTCTTGGAGAAGTTTGGTGTCTCTCTTGTTAGCCCTCACAGTGTGCTTCAAAGCTGTTCGTGACCCATATTCAGGATCTCTTTCAAGAAAGCTTGGGCTGGCATAATGTAAGTAACATTCTGGTACTCATGGTGGGTCTGAATGAAATGTCTCAAGGAAATCTGTCTTAGGATGTTTTCTTCAGGTTGGTAAAGATTTCAGGTTACACTAAGTGAATCTAAATAAAAGTATGGAAAGCCTGTAGATTGTATACTGTGATACCTCAATTTCCACAACTCCTCTATCACCATTCGGGACTAAAACATTAGGTTTCTTTTTCCAGATCCCAGGTTCCCTTAACCAGTCTATTCTTCCTCTTTTGAGGGAATCACTACTTCACAAGTCATTACAACCATTCACTATGTGCACGATCAGGAACATCTCAGTACTTGGAACATGCTGTGAGCTTCAGCCCCAACGCATTGAATTCTGGTACCCAACACGTGACTTCAGCATTTGAAGATTTGAATATTGAAGAGAAAACCTGAATGGTCTTGAGGAATAAATGAAAAAGAAGCTCTGCACTTTTCAAAAAGAGGTCTTGATTTACAAATCTGACAAAAATTATGTTTACAGAAGGAATCCAGACAGTATTGTTTTATATCTTTGGTACTCTCCTAATAAACTGTCCCTTATAAATATCAAAAACGCGACATTCAGCTATTAGAGAAGAAGGGAAAATACTCTTGAGGATAACTTTGTCCCAAGCACAGGGGCATCAATTACCTTCCCAGATGTTTATTTTTTGGCCTCTCGCTCTTCAGAATTGATTTATGCAGCTTTGCAGAAGATTAGTTCAGAAAGGAGGTGTGAATAAAAGATAATAAAGAATGATTTAGTCATCTGCAAGGTGAAAATGAAAACCACCTAAATTCCCACCACTTATATTGCTGCTTGTATTGTCATACACCAGAATCATGTCTGGATGTTTATGTTAACATTTTGCTTTAACAATGATGTCATTGATGTGATGTGATGGAAAATCTAGCTTAGGAGAGTACCTCATCTACTGTGTAAGCTGAAGTTTTCAACAAGTTAATATTTCTTCAGTGTTGGACTCTAGTATGAAAAGTTCTACTTCAGAAAAAAAGTAAGCATCTTTCGTCATTGTCCCAGAAAGATTACACTGGAAAGTGAAAAGTGAAATGAGAGCAGAGGATGACTCAGTATAACCATTCAGCAGAGCTCTCTCTCCAGAGCTCAGCAAATAAGTCATTAAATTTCACTGAAACACCACTGGCTTTGGATGAAAGGACACTATTAGGGCTGAAGATTTCACTGTCAGTCCTTCTGTCTGTTATAACTTTGGCCACAATCCTTGCAAATGTTTTTGTTGTTATTACAATTTTTCTGACTAGAAAGCTCCACACACCTGCAAATTACCTCATTGGCTCCTTGGCAGTGACTGATCTTTTAGTGTCTGTCCTAGTAATGCCCATCAGCATTGCTTACACTGTCACCCACACATGGGCCTTTGGCCAAGTGTTGTGTGATATCTGGCTATCATCAGACATCACGTGCTGCACAGCCTCAATCCTACACCTCTGTGTTATTGCACTGGACAGATACTGGGCTATCACAGATGCTTTGGAATATGCCAAACGCCGGACCGCTGGCCGAGCAGCGCTCATGATTGCTGTGGTCTGGATGATATCTATTAGTATTTCTGTGCCACCATTTTTCTGGAGGCAAGTGAAAGCTCATGAAGAAATTGCAAAGTGTACTGTGAACACAGATCAAATTTCCTACACAATTTATTCCACTTGTGGGGCTTTCTACATCCCGACTGTGCTCCTCCTGATATTGTATGGTAGAATTTATGTAGCAGCTCGATCCAGGATTCTGAAGCCACCCTCATTATATGGGAAACGTTTTACTACTGCACACCTGATTACTGGCTCTGCTGGGTCTTCCCTCTGCTCCATTAATGCTAGCCTTCACGAAGGGCATTCCCATTCAGGTGGATCCCCAATATTTATCAATCATGTTAAAATAAAACTTGCAGATAGTGTCCTGGAAAGGAAAAGAATTTCTGCTGCAAGAGAAAGGAAAGCCACCAAAACTTTAGGCATTATTCTGGGAGCTTTCATTTTCTGCTGGCTGCCTTTTTTTGTCATGTCCCTAGTCCTACCAATCTGCCAAGATGCTTGTTGGTTTCATCCCATCCTACTGGACTTTTTTACGTGGTTAGGCTACTTAAACTCCTTGATCAATCCAGTCATTTATACAGCTTTTAATGAGGAATTCAAACAGGCTTTCCAAAAACTAATACATTTCAAAAAGTGTTCATCTTGAGCCACTCCTGTTGTGTTACTGACCCTTGTGCAATCTTGCAGCCTATCTGGAAATGTGCTGTGCTTTTATTCCTAAGGTATGGAGTGGTAATTGCCATCTCTGCTGCTACCCTGTGCTGTGCATGTAACTGGGAACTTCTTACCAATTTGGTACTTTCTGTCTGGAATTCTATATCCCATAACAGAACTTGTCTGTGGTCTCTGCAGTGATCGTTTGTGTATATAAGATCAACACATGAAGTAAGCTTTGTAAGAAGTGAAGGAGTGTGAACCAGAGAGCTGAGTTTGTTTGATGAGATGACACATATTATCCAATGCTGCCATACCTTTGTAACCTGATGGGAGGAAAATGTGTGTGTATTTGCAGGATGTCAGTATTTCTGCTGTATATTACTAACAATTTATATAGGCTGAGAAAGTTTCTGGAGAAGAGGATCTGATGTCTACATTTTCTATGGCATGTATCCTATCCATTTGAAATTGATAAAACCTGTAACTTTTTCAGAAGTTCTGTGACACAGCCTAACTATAAGCAGTAGCACACAGAAGGCATAGTGCATATATAAGTTCTCTGGATATTTCACAAATACTGCATTTGAAGCTATACTTTTGCTGAACTGTAGAAAGAAGACAATTTATTTGAAATAATTTTTACACATTTTATCATGAATAGAATAGCCAGTGCAGAAATACTACAAAATAAATAGCATGAATATTATTGACAAGTACCTCGATCTTATATTTCTGTTATTTAATTTTTTCCATGCACAATCTGAAACAGGAAAATATGGTTAGTGCCACTGTGGAATGACTGGGACCTCAAAAGAGAGCCAGAAGGTTCACTCCTTGGTGACAAGAAATGAGAAGTTAGAGAGGAGAGAAAGACATGACGTATCAAGGAAAACTTTCTTAGTAATTAAGGTTGTTGGGGTGGATGTGACATCACTGTATCTGGAAGTCTGTAAGAAGTGCTCAAACAAATATCTGTCAGAGATCACAATGTCAGGACCCTCTGCTGGGGCTGTGGAGAGTGGAGCAGGTCTCCTCTAACCTGCACTTCTCTGTCTCTGGGATTATTTTCCCCATTTGGCAGGTGGGAAGCTGGCACATGGAGGTCTTGGTTGAAGGCTTGGACAGGACCGCACACCAAGTAGTGCAGCCCAGATTTCATTCAACTTTTTAGAGTCTCTGGGCATTTTATAGCAGAAGTGTCATGTCCATATGGCATATAAGCAGCATGCATTGCTTTGAAAGCGTTATCCCATCATCCTTCTGACCGCCCTTCCGTCTCACAGCCTGCCTAAATTCATCTCCACCATCCACTACTGTGGCCATCCCAACACACTCCACCACAGCACAGGTCCATGACAGATCTTCAGCCTCTCCTTTGCATTTGCTGCACAGTCTTGCAGCTTGTTCCTGTTGCTCGTGCCTCTGCTGAGGACTGGACCATAAAGTAATGCCCCAGGACCACCCACATGTTGCAGAATCAGGCAGAGCAGTTGTGTAGGTCGCTGAATTGTAGTCCTCCCCTCAGTACACACTGAGGGCAATTAAGTCTGCCCTTTTTGGGACACAGCTCCTCTCCCCTCCCAAGCATGAGCTGACCTAGCTCAGTTCAGCTCAAGAGATTTTGGTGGTCGCACAAGCTGGCCGTGTCCACACAGTCTGCTTGCAGAGCACATCCAGAGTGCCCACTGGCAGTGGTGGTTCTCTCGCCTGTGCTCACTCCTGAACTGTGCTTTCGCATTTGCCCGTGATAAGCCATGGGATGACATGCCATGGTTAGAGGGATGGGATGCTAGTAAAGGCCCTCAGCCTGTTGATCTGAGGTGTGCTGGAGACACTGCAGTGCAGTCGAAGTCATATGAGGATGAGCAGGGGACTCCTGAGGTAATTGGAGCCAACAAGGATACATCGAAGAAATTCCTCAAGAGAACTAAGGGGTGTTCCTGCAAGAAGGTGACACAGCTGACAGCCCAGCTGAAGTCCCTCTACACCAATGCACACAGCATGGGCAACAAACAGGAGGAGTTGGAAGCTACCATGCTGCCAGAAAGTTATGATGTAGTTGCCATTACTGAAGCTTGGTGGGATGAGTCTCATGACTGGAGTGCAGCTATTGATGTCTACAGGCTGTTCAGAAAGAACAGGCGAGGAAGGAGAGGCAGAGGCATTGCCCTCTACATCAAGAAATGGATAGAATGTGAAGAGCTGTCCCTGAAGAATAACCACAAGCAGATCGAAAGCTTATCGGTAAAAATTACAGACCAAGACAGCAAAGGGAACCTTGTGGTTAGTGTCTACTACAGGCCGCCCGATCAAGGGAAGCCTATTGATGAAGCCTTTTTCCTCCAGCCACAAGAAGCTTCGTGCTTACAGGCTTTTGTCCTGCTGGGAGAGTTCAACCACCCTGACATCTGCTGGGAAAGTAACATGGCAAGCTGTAGGCAACCCACGAGACTCCTAGAGTGCATGGAGGATAACTTTTTAAGCCAGATAACAGACAACCCTACCAGAGGGGATGCAATGCTGGACCTGATGGTCACCAATGCAAATGAGCTCATTGGAGATGTCAAGATTGGAGGCAGCCTGAGCTGCAGTGATCATGCACTGGTGGAGTTCACAGCCCTGAGGGATAAGGGTCAGGTGAGGAGTATAGTCAGGACCCTGAATTTCAGGAAAGCAAAATTCCACCTCTTCAAGGAGTTAGTCAATAGGACTCCCTGGGAAACTGCCCTCAGGGACAAGAAAGCAGAACAGAGCTGGCAGGTCTTTAAGGATGCTTTCCATAGAGTGCAAGAGCTCTCGATCCCCAGGTGTAAGAAATCAGGCAAGGAAGGGAAAAGAACGGCATGCCTCCCTGGGAAACTGCCCTCAGGGACAAGAAAGCAGAACAGAGCTGGCAGGTCTTTAAGGATGCTTTCCATAGAGTGCAAGAGCTCTCGATCCCCAGGTGTAAGAAATCAGGCAAGGAAGGGAAAAGAACGGCATGCTGACTCATGACCTGCTGGTCAAACTAAAGGGCAAGAAGGAAATGCACAGGCAGTGGAAGCAGGGACTGGTGTGCTGGGAAGAGTATAGGGACACTGCCTGGTTGTGTAGGGATGGGGTCAGGAAGGCCAAGGCTTGGCTGGAGCTGAACTGGTGAGGGAGGCAAAGAATAATAAGAAGGGCTCAAAGAATAATAAGAAGGGCTTCTTTAGGTATGTAAACCAGAAAAGAAAGGTTAAAGAAAGCATACCCCCTCTGATGAGCAAAACTGGGAAGCTGGTAACAACAGACAACAAGAAGGCTGAGGAACTTAACTTTTTTGCCTCAGTCTTCACTGGCAACCTCACCTCTCACACCTCCTGAGACAATGAACCACATGACAGGGATCAGGGGGGCAAAATTCTTCCTACTTTAACTGAAGATCAGATTCGAGACCACCTGAGGAACCTGAACATACACAAGTCTATCGGACCAGATGAGATGCACCCCAGAGTCCTGAGGGAATTGGCTGATGCAGTTTCCAGGCCACTCTCCATGGTATTTGAAAAGCTGTAGCAGTCAGGTGAAGTCCCTGGTGACCAGAAACAGGGAAATGTTACACCCATTTTTTAAAAGGGTAGAAAAGAGGACCCTGGGAACTACCAACCTGTCAGCCTCACCTCTGTGCCTGGGAAGATCATGGAACAGGTCCTCCTAGAAGCTATGCTAAGGCACATGGAGGACATGGAGGTGATTCAAGACAGCCAGCACGGCTTCCCCAAGGGCAAGTCCTGGCTGAACAACCTAGCGGCCTGCTATGATGGAGTGAGTACATCAGTGGACAAGGGAAAAACTGCAGATGTTATGTATCCGGACTTCTGTAAAGCCTTTGACACAGTCCCCCACAACATCCTTCTCTCTAAATTGGTGAGATATGGATTTGATGGGTGGACTGTTCACTGGATAACCAATTGGTTGGATGGTTACATCCAGAGGGTAGTGGTCAATGGCTTGATGTCCAGATGGAGACTGGTGACAAGTCGTGTCCCTCAGGGGTCCATACTGGGACCAGTGCTGTTTAATATCTTCATCAATGACACAGACAGTGGGATTGAGTTCACCCTCAGCAAGTTTGCAGATGATACCAAGCTGAGTGGTGCAGTTGACACGCCTGAGGGACAGGGTGCCATCCAGAGGGACCTGGACAAGCTTCAGAAGTGGGCCTGTGTGAATCACATGAGCTTCAACAAGGTCAAGTGCAAGGCCCCGGTGCAGGGCAACCTCAGATATCAATATAGGCTGGGCGATGAAGGGATTGAGAACAGCCCCACGGAGAAGGACTTGGGGGTACTAGTAGATGAAAAGCTGGACATGAGCCAGCAATGTGCGATTGCAGCCCAGAAAGCCAACCGTATCCTGGGCTGCATCCAAAGGAGCGTGACCAGCAGGTTGAGGGAAGAGATTCTCCCCCTCTACTTGACTCTGCTGAGACTCCACCTCCCATACTGCATCCAGCTCTGGAGGCTCCAACACAAGAAGGACATGGACCTGTTGTAGCAAGGCCAGAGGAGGCCACGAAGATGATCCGAGGGCTGGAGCACCTCTGCTGTGAGGACATGCTGAGAGAGTTGGGGTTGTTCAGCCTGGAGAAGAGAAGGCGCCAGGGAAACCTTAGAGCAGCCTTCCAGTACTTAAAGGGGGCTTATAAGAAAGATGAGGACAGACGTTTTAGCAAGGTCTGTTGTGACAGGACATGGGGTAATGGTTTTAAACTAAAGGAAGGTAGATTTAGACTAGATATAAGAAAGAAATTTTTCACAATGGGGTGGTGAGGCCCTGGCACAGGTTGCCCAGAGAGGTGGTAGATGCCCCATCCCTGGAAACATTCGAGGACAGGTTGGATGGGGCTCTGAGCAACCTGATCTGGTTGAAGATGTCCCTGCTTATTGCAGGGGGGTTGGACTAGATGACCTTTAAAGGTCCCTTCCAATGCAAAGCATTCTATTATTATAACATTCATTGCCTGGG